TTTAACCAGGCAAATCCCACTGAGATCACAGATCTGTTTTGCAAGGGAGACCTGGACCTGAAGGTAGCCTAACATGCATGTTTTTGATCTGTGGGAGGAAACCGGAGTACCCGGAAAAACCCGCGCAAGCACGAGAAGAACATGCAAACTCCACACAGAAAAACCCCAGGTCCAACCGGGGATTGAACCCAGGACCTTCTTGCAAAACAATCCCTACCATTTGAGGAAAGTTTTCTATTTTTTATATTGCTTAAAAACATAGTTTCCTCAAATGATTGGGGTGGGGTAGCTGATGAATAATCTCTGGGGGCCACGGCCACCATTGGCCACCCCCTGGCTCCTCCAGTGCTCCAGCTGGTGGATTAAACTGCTCCTTTCTCTCCAGAATCCGTCACTCTGCAGAACAAACCTCCCTCTGTTCTCCTCCAGTGTAACTTACCAAGTTGAATATCTTGAACCAAAAACATTTAGGTTTATTCTCATTTCTTGTTCAATTCCAGTCCAGAAAAACACTCATCTTGAAAACTACAAACGTTCACTATTCAAACCCCTCAGTGATGGGGGACACGGGTATGCTGCTTGTTACATCTGGAAACATCCATTGGTTAGAAAACTTCTTAGGTGGATCAAAACTGCACTGCAGCTGAATAAAAGTTTATTTTATCAGTATTCTATTTCACTTTTTAAAACATGGAATTCCAGCAACAAGACCAGACCGAGAATGAACGTGAAGAATTTGTTCCGATCACTTAAAGATGTTAAAACAAGCAGATCAAACGTTAAGTTCAGCCGATCGGATCAGAAATAAAAACAGAAACGGATTGTGTTCCTGATGACGGAACAGCTTCATGAGTTCTTTGTTCTGTTTAAGGTCTGAAGGTGTTTAATGAAAAAATGAACACAAACTGAAGAAAAGACAGCCTGAAAAAAAGACGACAAGAAGTCTGACCATTAACAACAGACACAAAAGCAAATGTAAAGCATCTAAAGACGCATCAGAGCAGAAACACAGAGCGTTGTGTTTTCTTTATCCGTGTTGTGTTCAGGGTCCCGTCTGAATAAAAACACTCTTGTTGCCAGAATAACAGTCAGTCACACATCAGGAACAGTCGGTCAGTGTCAAATTGAAGGTCCGCTCGGTTCTGTACCACTCAGTCCCGCGTTTTATATTCTGTAAAAAGCTTCAGTCTCTTTATAAAAAAGTATTTTTCTCGTATTGTGTGAAAAGGTTTGAATGCATGAAGTGAAAAGTACTTTTCTGCGTCTCGATGTAGTTTCCATCCTTTCAGCAGTGAATGATGCGTAAAATGGTTTAAATTAATAAAAATGAGTTCTCAAACCGCTGCATGTTTATCTGGAGCTTTTAGCGTCGATTTATTTTTATTGTGTTTGCCGTTAAATGTTTACATGAATGTGAGACGGTGGAAACGCTACGGAAGAGGTTTAGGGTCATGGCGCAGTAATTAGTTTTCCCTTAATACTGAGAAAAAAGTCAGAATTCTGAGATTAAAGTCAGAATTTCAGAAAAATTCAGAATTTTGAGATTAAATTAAGAATTCTGAAGGGTCTGAATTATGTTGGTCTAAATTTTGTTTAGTTACTAACTAAACAATTCTTAAGAATTCCTACTTTTTTCTCAGAATTCTGACGTTTTCTCGGAAGGGAAAAAAAAATATTGCGCCGTGGCGCTAATCCTCTTCCGTAAAATGCAGAAGCTGTTTTTTTACCAAATAATAGCCGCAGAGCGATTCGTTGAAATGTTCAGCGAAGGAAAGTTTCTCGTTGAAATGCAAGAAACTTGTCTTCAATTTAAAATTCTCACCTGGATCTGCAGCATCTTAACTTTCATAGATATTTGAGTGTTTTTATAAATTCTTTATGTTAAATTAAAGTTGAATGTTTTTATTATTATTATTTAGGCCTTGTGTTAAATTAAGCCTCTGTTCCAGATCTGATGCTAAGCTAACTGTTTCCAGGCCTCAACAAGGCGTTAAACAGAAATGTTAAAATAAATATTCACATTTGATCTTTTGACGCCAAAAACTAAAGAAAAAATCTGTTTCTTTCGTTTCCTAAATCACTCCAAATGGATCAAATCCTAATTTATCAGCAGAAATCTTTATCGCGTGCTAATAAAGTCAAGTTCTAATGAAGTAATTTATTTTTAAAGTCACTTTAACGAGTGACAAATGTATATTTTATTTGTGTAACAGCTGTTGTAGTTTTAAGAAACGAAGAAGAGCTTTGATCTGGTTTTATGAACATTTTCTGCCTTTGATGTTTGCAGGTGGTTCTTCCAGCCACACGTTCCTGAATGTAAAAAAGTTTCTAATAAAAAGAAAAAAAAAGTTCTGATGTTTTTTTGGTGATGCTGTGGTTCTGAACGCGAAGTACCCGGATCATTTATTCATCGCAGCTTCAGAACCAACATTCTTCAGAAAGGCGAGAACGTCTCCAGGAAACAAAACGGATGAAATTACAAAAAAACAAAAACAGCTTTCTGCTGCGTCTGACAGCTGTTTGGACCCGGTCCACAGAGAGGAAGGACCCGGCAGAACTGGGCAGAACGGGTCAACCAGCAAGAACCAAGGAGGAGGAAGTTATTAAAAATGACGAGTGAATTCCTCAACATAAGGGCCCGGATGATCACCTGGATGATCGTCTGGATATGATCAACATTTATCATTGGGTTCTGTTTGGTACCGTCGGCCCAATAACTCAACTGCACAGAACCTTCCACTGAAAATGGACTGTTGGATGGTTTGATTTCAGGCAACAGCAGCTCAGTCTTATCAGCTGCAGCCGAAGGTCGTCTGTCTGCAGCTGAAGCTCCTGTGTCTGCAGCCGAAGGTCATGTC